CCTTGGGCTCTGTTTTCCCATGGCCTGTGTTACATCCAGCTCTCCATGTGACCCCGGCAGGTCAGTTCACCTCTTTGACCTCGGTCTCCCCTTCTGGAAAGCAGAAGGGTTGATCTCGGTAACCCAGGGCAGTCTGTGATGCAGGGCTTAATAAAAATGGGAGATAGAAGAAGTATTCGTTGATCCCCGATTCGGCAGACATTTCTCGTAGGATTCCTGAGTGCCAGGCACTGTGCTAGTTCTGGAGATGCCTCATGAACAGCACAGGGAAGTTCCTGCCCTCATGGAACCCACACTCCAGGGAGGGAGACACACAAGGAACAAGACACAAGTCAAAGTCACGTTGTATCAGGTCATGATACGTCTGTGGGGCTGGGGGGTTGCAGTTTTACATGGGGTCTGGGTCAGGAAGGGGCTTGATGAAAAGGTAGCGTTAGAACACAGACCTGAGGGGGTGAGTGGGGGAGCCATGTCAACACCCAGACAGAGGGATACAGCAAGTGCAAAGGCCTTGAGGTGGGGGCTTCCTGGTGTGTTTGAGGGGCAGGAAAGGAGGTCAGAGGTTACAGGGGCAGGTGGGATGGGGCCTGCTCTGGGATTGCACAGATGATTACACAGATGTTGGCTTCTACTCTTGAGTGCCAGTGGGGGCCTGTGCAGCGCGTTGAGCAGAGGTGCCCACTTAAGGTTCTAGCAGGCTCACTCTGGGGCTGTGTTGGGACTAGGCCGCAGGAGTGGGGGTGGGGGGGGCCAGGGAGGCCAGTCAGCCGCTGTCACTGAGGTGAGGTGGCTTGGCCTGAGGTGGTAAGAGGCGAGCAGTGGCTGGGAGGTTCCTCTGACTGGTTGGATGTGGGGCTGAGAAAAGGCGAAGTTAGGGAGGAAGGCCAGGTTTTGGCCTGAGCAGCAGGAAGGATAGACATTAAGATGTGCAGACATGTGGACGGGCAGGTTTTGGGAGAGCTCAGGAGTTCGCCTGGGACATGTTTTGTGAGTTGGAGAAGCTGGATCGATACCTACCTGGAGCCCTCAAGCATGGCAGAGTGCTTGGAGTCTCCATTCAGCATGGAGTTTGGATCCCCGGGGGTGGAGGCGTGCATGTGGGGTCCCCAGTGTCCCATCTGGACTCTAGATTCCAGAGGGCTTTGGAAGCATGAGACTGGCTGAGAGGGCCTGGGGAGTCAGTGCTCATCCATCAGCCGGGTGCCTACTGCATGCCTAGTCTGTGTCCTGACACTGACATTCAGGGTGGTGGGGAGCAGGGAAGATGTAAACCTCGTTCTAATCCGGTGCTTGCCCCCAGGCTTGTTTCCCAGACTGATCATTCCTTGGGGAGTAGAGGAGGCCGAGAAGAGGCTGGAGGCTGGAGCACTCAGAGCAGGCTTCAGGAGAGCAGGGGCTCGGCCTGGGCCCGGAGAGATGAGTGGACCAGGGCCAGGCCTGGTGGAGGGGAAGGGCTTTCCAGGCAGGAGGAAGGCGGGGCGGGGGGTGGGGGGTGGTGTCAAGGTATAGAGCCAAACGTGAGGGAGGGTGTGGTTGAGCTTGATGATGGCGAAAGGGCCCAGGGTGGTCAGACAGCTGGGCGTTTGGAATTTGTGTCCCAACTGGGAGCTCTGACATTAGGCAGTTACTTGGTCTTGCCCGGCCTCATCTGCAAAATGGGTGTCCCTCTAGGAGACATTTTAGGATCTAACACTCCGCTCTGGATGTGACATGCTCAGCCTGGCATGTGGTGTGTGGTAGACCCTGGACATACCTGGGGAGGGGCATCAGCCCTGCCTCGGTGGGTCTCTTCCTCGTGGCCCAGCAAAGGGCGGAGCTTCAAGAGGGCCACCGCTGGCGACGCCGGGCCCACGTGGGTGCCGGCTGACCGCTGGCCTGAGAGAGCTGAAGTGCCCAGCGCCCTGGCCACCTTTCTTAGCCCCTTCTATTTTAGGGCTCAGTCCCAATGGATGAGGAAGACTTGTCCAGCTTCACCACAGCTAATGACAGCCTGGCCTGCCAAGCCATTTAAAAACAGCTCCACTATTTTTATCAACAGGAGGAGGCTGGCCTATCCTCCTCTCCAGACAGTGCCCACATAGGCTGATTCTAAGGAAACCAGGGCCTTGATAGGAAGATGGGTCATTGTCTCAAGTCACAGACTATGATCATGCAAGATGTGCCCATGGAACCTTCTGGGGGGGTGTCAGGTGTCACCTTTACTTGCGGTCCGAATTTAGGGATAATTCTACCCTACGTTGCCAGTAGGGCTCCGAAGGAATCACCCAACCTCTCCACCCTGAATATTGCTCGGACGCAGTCCTCTCTGGTGTCTCTGGGAGCAGCAGGCCCCTGTCCCCATGGGAGCGGGGGCTTGGAGAAGACAGGGCTGAGGTGGCTGTACTGTAGGGCCAGCCCCAGAGCCGTGGGCTTTTCATGCCCAAAGGATGTTTCCTGAGCACTCTCTAATTGAAAGTAATTTAAAATGGTTCTTGTCTGGTGGAACTGTGGGTGATTTTCTCTCCTTCAATAAGCTCCAGGGATGGAGACGGGGAAGGCAGTGGGTGGGAAGGTGGGGGGAATGCCCCATGCCGGGCAGCATGGAATGATCCTCCTCAGGGAGAGCAGAGTGGTGGTGGTGGTGTATTGGCCATACTTTGTCTCTAGGTAAAATTGTTTTTTTGTTTTTTTGGTCTACTGCCTAATTTCTAAACAAAATTGCATTTTTTTTTTTTTTTGAGCACCTGGTTGGCTGATCCTTAAAACAAGAGGCACCCTGCTCTCCCTTGCTCCAGTCAGCTCCTGCAGCAGCTGGGGCCATTTCCACCCTCACCTCCGCCAGAAGCCTTCGGTGGCCCCTTTGTCTGTAGGATCAGGGCCTGGCTGACCTTCCATACCCTCTTCTGGGCCCCGGTCGTCCCCCATTGCCTCCTCCTCTCCGCCCCCTCCCCTGTCATCTACCTTGGATACACCTCACCCTCCGGCCCCTTTCCTCCCCTTCTCAGGGTACCTTTCTGCCCCCGCAACCCACCTCAGATACCGCCACCTCTTTGACGCCCTGCGTGGTCCGGCCGCCCCCAACCCTGTCTTGATCCCCTGGAGCGGCTGTTCTGCCGCCGTCCGCTGCCGCCGCCCCAGCCCACGAGGGTCGCTGCAGGCGGAGCCTATGCACGCGTCACCCCCGTGTTGTAGCTTTGTCTTCTGTGCCATGACTTGCTGTGGCCCTTCATGGTTTACAGGTGCTTCCTCGCACCTTACGTATCTGAGCAGTCCTACCTCCAGAAACCTGGGAGCCGAGAGTTTTAGTGGCAGCACCGAGCCTAGAGCCGTGTCTCGCAGGGAGTCAGGGCAGTGGCTGTGGGCCCCTCGCCCGTCCAGGGCCCCACCCCTGCCCCCCTCCCGCCCCTGCCCCATCCCCAGTGCCCCAGAACTCCTTCCTACCGAGCGCTCACTCGCCCCCGGGAAGGCTGTTAGCTGAGGCAGCAGTGAGAGGTGGGGGACCACAGGCCCTGCAGATGGTCCCACTCCAGCTCCTGGCTCTTGGGGCTGTGGGTCATGTCGTGTCAGGGGTGGCGTCCCGCCCTGGAGCCTTCCAGAGGAGACCCACTGGGCTGAGGTGTGCCGAGCAGGAAGGCTTTCAGCTGCGGCCCAGCTGTGGGGAGGCCGCCCTTCCTGGTTCCCGGGGGCCTGGGGCTGGCTGTGCCCTCCGAGGATGTTCCTGGCGCCTGAGGGGACAGCCCCTGGGCTCTGTCTTCTTCCTGGTGCACAGAGAGCTGCTGTGGGTCCGGATGGACGCCTGGAGGGTGTGGGGTGAGGTGTGGCGTTCCCTCTCCTGGGCTTCCCCTCCAGGGCGGGCTGCACGTCCGTGGTGGGTCACAGGAGCGACTCAGGCATGGCGGCAAGGACACCGCGCCACAGGGAAGCTGACTCTGTGTGCCTTGGGGTGCCCACCGATGCCCACGCTGAGAAAGCCTCAAGAAGACCCCATTTAAGTCCCCTTCCTCCTGAGCGTCTTCCATTCAGAGGTCACTCCTGCCCCTGCACCTTCAATGACTCCGCTGAGCTAAAGCCACGGGGCTCCACCCTGGCTGCAGAGTCCCCGGGGAGCTTCTCAGGCTCGCGGAGGCCTGTGTCTCACAGGCTCTGCTCTGATGGGTCTGGGCTGGGGCCCCGGCGTCCGCCGGCCAGGGTCGGAAGCTGGACTAGAGTGGAGCGTGGGCTTCCACCAGTTGCCTGCCAGCCCAGTTCCCCTCCCTGGCCCTTCACACCCTCGATCCAGTCCCGCCTGCTGGTCCCCGTCCACACCTCTGTGCCGCCCCATGGGCTGCTTGCTCTCTCCACCCCAACCCTGCCGGCCCACACGGCCCAGCCACATCCCACGCTCTCTGGGAAGCCTATCTCCGGTCACGTGGTGTGGCGGTTCCTTCTCCCCCCAGCACGTGGCCTGGTGCCGTTCTTAGGAGGTGCTCAGGACGGCTTGTTGAAAGCACTGATGCCCCCTGACCCAACACACGCACCTCTTTCTCTCCTCAGCCTTTGTCTCTTTCGTTGCCCCCCAGCCCTGGTGGCCTTTCTAGGATCTGTTCCAGCCTTGGGGAGGGTGGGGCCGGGGCCGGAGGGCTGGATTCACCCCCTTCTGCCCCTGATCCGGAGCTATTTGAGAAGTGGGCGAGGAGGTCCGTTAAGGACCAGTCGGGGTCAGAGGCCAAGATGGGGGTCCCCCTCCCAGGCAGAGATGCACTCACCTGCCTGGGAGCCACTGGAGGCCGCAGAGCCCAGGCCACGGGGGCCGAGGGGAGGCCGTGCTGCGTCCACGGTCAGAGCCCCGATGGCTTCGCCTTGCCATCCACTGGCCTCCCGTGGAACCTGAGCCGGGGCCATGCCGTGGGCCTCGCTGTGCAAATCCCTCCCGTCCCAGCCCCAAAGCTGTGTGTCTGTGTGTCTGTGTGTGTGGTGTGTCCGTGCCTGGGGGTGGGGGGCGAGGCCCCGCTGGACTCTCACCCTCTGCCGTCATCCTCCAGGCAAAAGCGGCCAAATCAGAGCCGGAGGCTGGGAGGTTGCGGCTGCGGAGCCTGCAGTACCTGGAGCGCTACGTGTACCTGGTGCTCTTCAACGCTTACCTCCACCTGGAGAAGGCTGACTCCTGGCACAGGCCCTTCAGCTCGTGGATGCGGCAGGTGAGAGGCCGCCCCGCGCAGCCCCCGCGGGCCCAGCAGCAGGCTCCCCCATGGGCAGAGCTGTCACTTGGCTCTATGGGAAGCTTCCACGATCAGGATTGTGTCGCGTTCAGCGTTGGGTGTCTGGCCTGGCGTCTGCACGTGGCCGGCCAAAGTCGGAGGCATGAATCAGTGAGAACTGTTGCCCAAGGAACAGCACAGGGCAGTGTGCTAGGCACGGCCCTGCTCTGGGCATCCCCAGGGCTGAGGTGACCTGGGTGCTTCGTGCCCATTCTTGTGTTCCCTCCTCCCCTGTGCCCCGCGAGGGGCAGGATGGCTTGGTGGCCTGGCCCCTGCCACCTGCCAGCCATGACCTTGGACAGGTGGGCCCTTCCTTCTGGCTGTCCTCGGCATGAAGGCAGAGATCGTCTTGACGCTGTCTCTGCCACCTGAGAACGTCATGGTGGGGCTGCCACGAGATACATCGGGTGCCGTGTGCTAGGCCCTGTGTGAGGTCTGCCTCGCGTGATGACTGGTACTCTCCCGTTGTACGGAGGAGACCGAGCACAGCCCGGGAAGTACTTGCTCAGGGTCAGCCGCGGAGCCGGTTGGCTGGCTCCAGAGCCCCCCGTGTCTGGCCCTAGGCGCCGCCCTCTCATTCCGCCTGCACTGTCCCTCTCTCTGCTTGGCCTCCCAGTTCCTCTGGTTCTTCCTCCGGCTTGTCTGGTTTTAGGGGCAAGCTGTTGCCTCAGCACCTCTGGGTCAGGAGAGAGGCCTCCTTCCCCTCTTGGCAAAGTGGCCTGTAATTATCCCCGCTCCAGGATACAGGCCTCTCCTGGCCTTGCCAGCCTGCCCTGACGGTTCTCATCTGGATGGAGCTGGGACCTGGCACCCATGGGGCAGGTGGGCGGGAGAGTGCTCGGTGACCCCAGCACTGGGCTCAGGTAGGTGTGCGGGTGGGGTCAGAGCTGCCAGGGAATAGAGGCCGCGGGCCGCTGCACAGCCTGGTGGCTGCGGGGGGCTTGTGCTGAAGACAGCCTTACGGGTGGTCCTTTCGAGGATGAGCGTTGAGTCAGGGGACCCAAGGCCACGTTGGGGCCATCCTCTTGAGCAGGCCTGGACTTGGCTTCCTCTTTGGACCCCTGGGTGGGATGGGGGTCGTGGGGGACCTAAGACACTTCTGCTTGGGTTCTGCTTGGAGAGTGGACGTTGGGGGAACCAGGGGCTGGGCAGGAGATTGAACCAGCTGAAACTAGGTGGTGCGTGTTGGGGGTTGTCTAGGAAGGAGAGAGCTCTTCCAATTAGGAGTGTGGGCTCCCGCCTCAGGGTCCCTCACTCCCTCCTGGGGTTGCATGGAGGGTGGGGGTGAAGATTGCCTTGGGACCTGTGGTCTGAGTGGAGCCTCCATCCTCCCCATCTCCTAGGACGGTGGAGAGAGAGGGGGGCTGGTCACTGAATGGGTTGCATCTCCCAGGCCCCCGAGAATGTATGGAGAATGTCCAGGGAGGCCCCCGCCTGCCCACCGGAGGGGAGGCCTGTGGTAGACCTGCCTGGTCTACGGCCGGAACACACAGCCACGGGGTTGCTTGCTGGCTCCCACACCCACACCGCTTTCTCTAGCCCTCCGTGGGGGCCCCGGCTGTAATGCCCAGAGCCACTGGGCCCGTGACCCCTAGTGTCTCAGCGGGAACAGCAGGGCCGCGCGGGCAGAGGGCACTTGGCTTCCTGCGCCGCTCTCCTCTTCCTTACTTATCTGCTGGGTGCTTTCCGTGTTTCTGGAGCCCTCCAGCATCGTCCTGGAAGGTAGAGACAGTTGTCCCCGTGTTGAGGAAGCTGAAGCTCGTGGTAGTGAAAACGCAAACTTGCTCAGGTTGCTGAGCTGGTGGAAGGCAGTGCTGGGCCCCAGGCTCAGCTGTGTGATCTAGAGCCCGTCGAGGGGAGGAGGGCGTGGTGATGTGGAGGGGGCGGGTGGACCTGGATGACAGCCTCTCTCCCTGGGACTACGGCCCCCAGTTCTGCTGTCTCCCCCAGGTGGCATCGAAGGCCGGAGTCTATGAGATCCTCAACCAGCTGGGCTTCCCCGAGCTCGAGAGCGGGCAGGACCAGCCCTTCTCCAGGCTGCGCTGCCGGTGGCAGGAGCAGAGCCGCAGGCCCGAGCCCTCCACCGCTGGGGACTTCCTGTAGGATGGGCTCCCCCCCCAACCCCTGCCTGCCCCCTCCCCGCCCGTCCCCCTCCTACGGGGCTCCATGCAGGCTGAGGATGCTCCAGGTGCTCTTCACGGGGAGTGGTCCCGAGGAACCCAGGCCCCAGGAGAGACTGGGGCGGGGTTGGGACCCTGTTTTAAAAAGAGCTTTTTATAGGACAAGTAGTGCACAGTTACACTTGTGAACAACAGGCGTGTGTGCCTTGCAGACCGCGGACAGCTTCCAGGGAGCTCGGTCCCCAAGTAGCCGAGCAAAGCTACTCACTGTGGCCACGTGCACCCTCCTCGGCCACCTCACAGCGGTCCTGACAGCCTGGGGTGCGGAGCCGGTTTCCCGCTTGCTTTCTCTTGCTGCCCTCCCCGCTTGGCCTCTCCCCTGTTGCTGCCTGAGCACTGCCCTGGGGAGCGGACAGGGCTCTGGTGGATTTGTCACCTCAACGGCAGCTTCACCCAGTTTCCTGGGCCTCTCGTGCCCCATCTCCAACCTGGAGACCCCGAGAGAAGCACGACAGCAGGGCCTACTGGACCTGGCGGAGGCTCTGCCGCTCCTTCCTTCCCCTCCCCCTCCCCTGGGGCTGGCGGGACTGTGGAGGTCCCCGAGGAGCTAGAAGGGAGGAGTCCCTCTCGGGAGGAAGGAGCTTCTAGAAGATGGATGCAGCCCTATGGAAGAGGTCTGCCCCATTTCCCAGGGAGCCAGGGCAGGCGGTGCTGAGGAAGCCCAGGCTCCCAGCAGCGGGTCCTACCACACTTTCCCTGCCCTGGCTGCCCAGGTGGCCCCAGGTCCCCCTCTGCTGCAGCAGGAGTCCTGAGGACTGCTGGGGGGCCCTGAGTGAACAGTGGAGCATGTGAGTGGGCTAAGGGGGGTTCCAGGCCATCCTGGCTGAGGACCCCTGAGCTTCCCTCCAGAGGGAGCAGAGGGGCCAAGCGTTGGGGAGCGGGAGGCCTCAGGAGCAGCTCTGTCCCCACCGTGGGAAGGCTGCTGGAAGGGCCGGCCCTGTGAAGGTGAGTTGTGCAGCTCTTCCTCTGGGGACCACTGCCCGCCGAAGCCCCGGGGGCTGACCGGTGTGGAGGCTGCCCCCCTGGGCCTGGCTCATGGCGGCCTGGGAGCCCTCCCTGGTTGGACGCATGCACTTCTGCAGAAAACCAGTGGACACGTCTCTGGTCTCAGGAGGAGAGGCCAGAGTTGTTCACATCTACCTAGTAGTGGAAGATATTTGGCCGTCTTGGCTGAAATCTTCTGCAAAACTGCTGTATGTCTGTTCACTACCTTTTCGGATTTGTTTTTGTTTTTATTTTTGCATGAATTAAAAAGTTTTCATTTCTTTGCAGAGAAGGTCTAGATGAGGGGTCACAGATCAGGCTGAACTGGGAGGGATCCTCTGTGTTCTCACGGTTGGCCCTGACTTTCAGCTGTGCTGGGACCATGGGCTGGTCACTTTGCCTCTCTGCCTCAGTTTCCCCATTTGTAAAATGGGAGAATAATACTTGCCTACCTACCTCACAGGGGTGTTGTGAGGACTCATTTGTGACTTTATTTTGTACAGAGCTTTTGAGCATTAAAAGTGGCTAAATGTGAAGTGTGCCTGCCTGCTGATGTCTGTAGTATGTTCTAGAACTGATGTGAGCTGTGGTCCTGGCTCCTTCAGAGTAGTGGTGGGTGGGCAAGGTGGGTTGAAAGCACTGATTCTTAGAGAAGGTAGGTTTTTCCAGACATCGCTCTCCTTCCTTCACATCCTGCATGCATGACCATCTCACTTTGGATGCCTGGGGCTGTCATGCTGATCCCCTCCTTGAAGAAAGCCACACAATAGGCTAATTCATGCTTTAGTGTGAAGGACTGTTGTGTTCAGGGACATGGAGCAAAATGGAATTTCAGGGGTTATGACGGAGGACAGACTTCAGCCTCTACTTCTTTCTCTCACTCCCGCAGGCTTCGCTTGGCCCCTTCCGGCCCCCAAATACTTGGACACAATGGCATAGAGTGGTTGGCGTGTCAGGAGGCAGTGAGGAGAGTGAGGCAGAGGGCATAGATCCCAGGCTCCTCCCCATGCTCTCCCAGCGTTAGGGGAACGAGACCCTCTGGGTTGTATTTCTGAGGTCAGCTTGAACCCCGAGCCCCGTGGGCTAAGGGTGGTGGTCTTCTCAGCCTGGGAGGGAAGGCCTCCTGGGGTTATTTCCCAGCACGGCAGAGTCCAAGGATGCTCCCTGTGGCTTCTGAATGTGAATGTAGAGACATGCATAGTGGTGTGTGTGTGTGCACGCGTGCGTGCGTGCGCAGTTCTCAGCCTGGGGATATGCAGGAGAGGATGGTGTGTTCACGGGTGTGTCCCCTCAGGCTCCCTGGGCCTGTCCCGCCTGTGGGAGGGGCATCTGGCAGTTACATGGACGGTGCTGGCTCCCAGGTCAGCAGCTCCTCTGGTGCAGGGCATCTGAAGACTCTGTTCGCTGAGTGAAGACATGCGAAACCTTCGAACAGCCCCTAATGCATTGTAAGCATGAGGTCAGTTTTAGCCAACTTCGCAAAGTCTCTCCGCCAGTCCTTTTGGGGTGCTCAGGAGTAGTCCCCTCACTTATCCCATGTCTGGTCATCGCTGTGGGGGCATCCCTGCGCCTTCCAGAACTTCAGACATCATGGAGGCTCTCCCGCACTCAAGTGCCCAGGCTGGGAGGTGTCACTTGGGTTAGGACCTGGGGTCTGCGTTTACTGGCAGTCGAGGAGCCCGACGAGGTCACTTGGTTGAGCTGCCACCCTATTTTCCCACTGCCCCCTGGGGGCCTGGCACCTAGGCCAGTGGCCTCGATATGCCTGGCTCCCACTCCTGTACCCTGCATTCTTTCCCAAAGGCTTCTGGTTCTTCTGGGGGTCCTGCCACGCCAATTGGCCCCAGTGCCCAAACCAGACGGGCCTTTGCTGGGACCCTGGCTGCCTTAAGGGTGTAAGCGTGGGTGCTAATGAGCACGTGCGGGCTTCTGTATATGAGGGTGACTGTGGAGGGTGGAGATGCCTGTATGTGGGCTGTGGACAGTGATTCAACAGTCACACACAGGGCTGTGACAGGGACAGCCCCACCTTCCAGAGCCCGTGGTATTTCGGGGAAGAGAATGAACGAGTCATTCGCACTGCGTATGGTGAGAACTGGGATGCTGTGGGCTGCCCGTAGACAGGAGCAGTGAGGTTGAATACCAGGTCCAGAGTTCAGACTGGGGCCCTGGCTTCCATTGCTCCTTTTTTTAAAAAAATTTTTTAATTGTTATGTTAATCACCATACATTACATCATTAGTTTTTGATGCAGTGTTCCATGATTCATTGTTTGTGCATAACACCCAGTGCTCCAC